AGAGACTATTCTAGGTAAAAAAACAAAGCCAGAGGCATTACTCTACCAGACTTCTGGTTATATTGCAAGCCCACAGTGGTCAAAACAGCATGGTATTAGCACAAAAATAGAGACATAGATATAAGGAACAGAATAGAAAACCAAGAGATGAAACCAGTCCTGACTTGCCATCTGATCTTTGATAAACCAGATTAAAGCATACAGTTAGGGAAAGAATCCCTATTCATCAAATGGTGTTGGGAGAACTGGATAATAACATGCAAAAGACTGAAACAGGACCTTCACCTTTCACTACCTCCAAAAATTAACTCAGGATGGATAGAAGATTTAAGTCTAACACATGAAATGATAAAAATCTTAGAAGAAAGTGTGGGGGGAAACTCTTGATGATGTCAGACTGGGGAAATATTTTTATGACAAAGACTTCAGCAGTAATTGCAACAACAAAAATAAACAAATGGGACTTAAGCTGAAAAGCTTCTGCATAGGACACAAGTAAAGCAAAAAGACAACCCTCAGAATGGGAAAAGACATTTGCATGGTATGAATCTGACAAAAGGTTGCTAACTAGAATCTACAGAGAACTCAAATTAATCAACAAAAAAGGAGCAAATAAGCCTGTATACCACTGGGCAAGAGATATGAACAGAAACTTTCTCAAGGAATACAGATGAATGGCTAACGAACATTTGAAAAAATGTTCATTGTTCCTGATTAACAGAGAAATGTGAATCAAAACCACACAGAGATATCATGTAACCCCAGTGAGAATAGCTTACGTCACAAAGTATCGAAGCTGCAGATGTTGATGTGGATGTGCACAGAAGGGAACACTTTTACACTGTTGGCAGAACTGCAAACTAAACCTTCTTGGTCAAAATAGTCCTCCCATTTGATCCTGCAATCTCATTGCTAAGATCCAGAAGAAAAAAAAATCATTTTATCCTAAGGATATTACACTAGATTATTTATTACAGCTCAATTTACAATCATCAAAATGTACAAACACCCTAAATGCCCATCAACCCAAGAATGGATTAATAAGCTATAGTATATGTATATCGTGGAATACTTTGCTGATTAAGAGAAATGATACAAAAGACCAGAGGCGATTTAACACGTGCACACATTCCAAAGAAATTTACTCATATCACTCTCCACCTTCTTCCTACTTCATCCTCACAATACTAGCCTATCACAAACCAAGACTACATACATAACCAAATCTAGAAGTACCTCTCGTTCCCCCACTAACAAAACCTATATAAACCCCTACCTATTACAATAAACAGCTTCAGCTCAGTCCCTTTCCCAATGTGTCTGTCTTGTCTTATTTGTCTTCCCCTTTCATACGCCGACTCCCCAACACGCTGCTGCCCGCCGGCGGGCGGGCGGCATTACATCTTTCATATTAACCCAAATGGAGTTGAAACACATTCTTCTCAGTAAAGTACCACAAGGATGTAGAAGCAAGTATCCAAAGTACTCAATACTAATATGAAGCCAGTAGATGATCTAAATACATGCCTACATAAGAGAAAAACTCAAAAATTCAAGGCAGGAGGCAGAGGGAGGGGAGATAGGAGGGGAATGGATGTGCTCCCACTTAATGGGCACAATGTTAGGTGGCACATCTGTTAGGAGTGGGACACAGTTATAAGATGGACTCTACCTAACAAATGCAAACATTGTAACCTGATTCTTCGTACCCTCAATTAATCTGAAACAATAAAAAAGAAGTCAGCAGCAAAAGAAGAAAATAAAAGGTTTTTTTTCCACAACCCCCCACATTCATTTTTTGTTCTTTTTTTAAATTTTGTTTTGAGGAAAGAGAGGTTTTAAGGCATAGAGATTTGAGCAATTTGTATAATTCCACAAAGGGAGTTACAAGCATAGCTGAGGATCAACTTTCTGGAATCTTCTCTCCACATCATAAGTTCCCTCTGTTCCTTCAGAATACTCACCTGTGCTTCAGGGCTTGCTACTATTTCTATTTCTCAGTTGCCAAAAATCACCTGATTGTATTACCTTCCACTCAGAAGACTGTACAATGTTTCTAGATTCCTCTGAGTAATTTTCTGGGGATGAAAATGGGTGTTACATTTCAGTCGAGGAACCCTAAATTTTACCATCTGCAAAAACTCCCAGGTGTCTGTATCTGATTATTTTAAATCACATCAGAACCTTCTTTAGGACTTCCTACACCCTGAACCCACTTTGGTTTTTAGAATGTAGATTTAGTCCTCTGCCTACAAAGTATGATGGGTTTTGCATTCCCCTCCTCAGCATTTAGTCTGTACTTTAACAAAAAAAAAAAAAAAAAGAAGAAGAAGAAGAAGAAGAAACCACACATGAGGAAGAACCAAAAAAAGAACACTGGCAACTCCCAGCCAATCCCATGTACCTTGTGCTGGGGATTGGAGGGCTGAGCCACTAAATCTTCCCAGTGGGCCATGGGCCATTGTGAGCATGCTAAGTGGCTGCTGGAGCTGCTGCAGGCTGTGGGCACTGGCAAGGCACACTGCAGTCAGCGGCAGATCTGACTGGGTCTCTTTACAACCTGGACATCTTCATCTGTCTCAACTGCTCCTGCATCCACCACAATTTCTCTGACATCAACAAAGTTAAATCTGTGAGTCTTAATTTCTGGGACCACAGTAGTGTAGAGTTTATGACACATAATGGGAACCTCCATGTAAAAGTCAAGTTTGAAGCCAGAATTCCAGCTTTCCACTTAAATTCCCCAGGCCAATGACTGCCTGGTGTTAAAGGAACTTAGATTTGAGAGAAGTATGAGAGATAGGAATTTATGGCTGATGGGAAAACCATCTCAGGTTTTCCCCAGGTTAAAACCCCAGGTAACCAAGAAGGATTCCTACGGAAGTGGGGGAGGGATAACAACAGTTCCTGAGAAGGAGTTTTGTCCTTCGGGCACAAGAAAGCCTCCTCAAGTACTATAGGAGGGAAGAGGAGAAATATTCCAAAGTCATCATCAACATCAAGGATGGAATGTCCCAAGAGAGAAGACAGGGCATCCCTATGGGCTGTAGATCATGCACAAGAGAGAGGGACACCAGTAACCTGTTCCTGTACCATGGAAATGGGAAGGAGATAATGGACTGGTTCAACGCCTCTGTGCAGCCCACCTGCAATACTTAAAAATAGCCTTTCCTGAAATCCCAGCTGGTGCTTCTCATGACCAGGACCTAACTACCTCAAACAAGTTTCATAAAAAAGATTGACCCAAAGCCTGAAAAAAGAGGAAAGCACCTCTTCCAACCCAAGGTAGCATTGGAGGCAGCAAGGTAAAGATGGCAGAGCGGAGAGAACCTTTTAATAAAAGGTGGTTTGCCCTAGATTCCCAGAGGCAGAGGATGCTCTATTACAAGAACCCACTGGAAGCTTTTGAGCAGGGCCAGGTTTTTCTTGGGAGCAATGAGCAGGATAAAGTATATGAAGACCTCCCCAAAGGCATCTGGGGATAACTGGAAAGCTGACCTCACCATTGACACCCCAGAGCAAAGACTTGTCCTCACCTGCCCCAACAAGAAGAGCAGCACAAATGTCTGGAGAGTTTGCAAGATGTCCTGTGTCATCCCTTAACACCCCTCAACTTCGTCACTGCATTAGCAGAGAGTGGC